TGGTGAAAGGATACAACCCAAGAAGACATAACAATTCTAAATATATATAAACCTAACAACAGAGCTTCAAAATACATAAAGCAAAAACTGATAGAACTGAAAGAAGAAATAGAAAACTCCACAATTATAATTGGAGACTTTACCCTTCTCTCAGCAACAGCTAGAACAAGTAGACAGAAAGTCAGTAATGATAAGAGACTTAAACAACACTATCAACTAACTTGACATTATTGACACTTATAGGACACTCCACCCAGAATGCTTAATCTTTTCAAGTGCACATGGAACATTCACTAAGATAGACCATATTCTGGGCCATAAAACAAACCATAAAAATTTAAAAGAATTAAAGTCATACAAAGTATGTTCTCTGACCATAACAAAATTAAATTAGAAATAAGAAAATTTAGAAAATCCCCAAACACCTGGAAATTAAACCCACTAGTTTCAAAATACCATATGAGTCAGAGTTGGTCGCAAGAGAAATTAGAAAATATTTTCAACTGAATGAAAATTGAAACAGAACATATCAAAATTTGTGGAACGCTGCTAAAGAAGAGTAGAGAGAAACTTAGAGCATAAAGGGCTCATGTTAGAAAAGAAAGATCTCAAATCAGTGATCTAAGCTCCCACTTTAAGAAACAAGAAAAAGATGAAAGTAAACCCAAATTAAGCAGAAGGAAGAAAATAACACAGATAAGAGCAGCAATCAGTGAAATTAAGAACAGGGGAAAAAAAAACAACAAAACACTGAAGTTGATAAACCTCTAGCCAAACTAAGGGAAAAAAAAGAAATTACCAACAGCACAAATAAAAGAGGGAAGGAACATAATACGGAACCTAAACCCATTAAACTCATGGCTGTCGAGGTGATTCGGACTCATAGTGACCCTACAGGACAGAGCAGGACTGCCCCCATAAGGTTTCCAAGGCTGTAAATCTTTACGGAAGCAGACTGCCACGTCTTTCTCCCACAGAGTGGCTGGCAGGTTCGAACCGCCAGCCTTTTGGTTAGCAGCTGAGTGCTTCAACCACTGTGCAACCAGGGCTCCTATATTAAAAGAATAATAAGAGAATACTATGAGCAACGCTGTAAATTTGACAATTTAGATGAAGTGGAGAAACTCCTCCAAAGACACAAACCACTAAAGCTTGATCAAGAAGAAACAGGTAACCTAACAGTGTATAGCTACTAAAGAAATGGAATTTGTAGTTTAAAACCTTCCAGCAAAGAAAACTCCAGGCCTAGATGTCTTCACTAGCAAATTCTACCAATAACTCTATACAAAATCTTCTAGGCTATAAAAGAGGAAGGGGCACTTCCTGACTTATTTCACGAGGCTAGCTTTATTACCTTGACTCCCAAACCAGACAAACATGTTACAGAAAAGGAAAACTACAGACCAATCTCTCTCATGAACACAGATGTGAAAATTCTCACCATTTACTAGCAAACTGAATCTAACAATACATACAAACAATAAACCATCAGGACCAACTAGAGTTTATCCCAAGAATGCAAGCCTGGTTCAGCATTTCAAAGTCAATCAGTGTAATCCACCATACTGATAAATGGGACTACATAAAATTAAATAATTTTTGCGTCAAAAAAATACTATAAGCAAGGTCAAGAGAGTCGCAGGGAAAAAAAAAAAACTAATTTATATGTAGAGCCTTTAAAATTTTTTTAAAAGTCCAAAACTCCAATACAAAAAATGAGCAAAAGGCATGAACAGACGGTTCATAAACAGAGATACTAAAAAAATGGCCATAAACATGATGTTCAAGGTCACTCATAATGCCGAAAAACAGAAAAAAAACCAAACCGACTGCTATCGATTTGATTCCAACTCACAGAGACCCTGCAGGAGAGAAGAACTGCCCCATAGGGTCTCTAAGGCTGTAAATATTTACGGAAGAAGACTGCCATGTCTTTCTCCCACAGAGCAGACCTGGTGGGTTCGAACCTTTTGGTTGGCAGCTGAGCACTTCTAGCACTGCACCACCAGGCCTCCTCATGGTTGATTTAGGTCTTAACCATTAATCATATAAAGGTGTTTTCACAACCCCAGAGTTAGGACACCAGTTCAGAGCCTCCATCAGGCCCTAAAACTGCTTTGTCCTCTTCTGCCTTGTCTGTATCAGCAGAGATTTTGAGGTAACAGTGTGAAAAGCAAGGCGGCGGAGTCACTTTCCTGTTGATCTTTCAACTCCCCTTAAACAAGACAGTCTTTGTTGAATATATGCTCACCTCAAGCACAGCCAGCCACACTACGTGTCCGTCAGAGGAGGTCTGAGTGTTGCTGTGATGCTTAACAGGTTGCAGGGGAGCTTCCAGACTAAGAAAGACTAGGAAAAAAGGCCTGGCAATCTACTTCTAAAAATCAGCCAATGAAAACTCTATGTCTCACAGCGGTCTGATCCCGTTGTGCATGGGGCTGCCATGAGTCAGGGTGACTGGACAGACAACAATTCCATGCTTTACAAAGCCCTTTCACATGCATTACCTTGAACTTCAAACTTACATTGTGAAGTCACATAGGGAAAATGTTCTTATCCTGATTTTACCATTTAGAAACTTAGGAGGTAACTTGTCCAGGTCACCTGGCCCTGAGAAGCCTTTGAACCCTGCCATCTGGGCACCATCCAGTTTACCTGACCTCCGTCCAACAAGAAACAGAGGAGTTGAGCCAGATCCTTCTGATGGAGGTGAGGTGGGGTTGAGCCAAGGATGCATCAGTGATCTTGAACCAACCCAGCCGCTAACTGACGACAAAACAGAAATTCTTGACATGGCTACGGCCCGGGGATGTCAACATTCTCAGGGGAAAATTCTCTCACCACGTAGGGAAATGTAGCACTACAACTGTTGGAAAGCAGTTATCCAATGGCTTTCTTGGTGTGAAAATGTCTGCCTATCAAATAAATAACTTTAAAGGTCCCTTCTCTTCCTCTTTCCAAAAGAGTATAGTGAGTGTGAAAAAAAACAAAAACATTGGTATCCTTTACTTCACAGACCCTTTTAAGCAAAGTTGGGTGCAGCTACACATTATATCTATTTCCAACCAATCTGCATTATTAAAATGGGCAATTAAGGAATTCTTCTAACGAATTTCTAGTGCACAAGAAAGCCACATAGGCTTGGAATTTTACTTCCTCCACAGTCTCCACTTTCTTTTCTGTTATCCTGACTTCCACTTTTCTCTTTACCAGGACCAGTTACCTTCCAGTTGATTCTGACCCATGGCAACCCCATGTGTGTCAGAGGAGAACTGTGTTCCATAGGCTTTTCAATGGTTGCTTTTTCCAAAGTAGGTCGCCAGGCCTTTCTTTCCAGGTGCCTCGAGGTGGAATCGAACCTCCAACCTTTCCGTTAGCAGCTGAGCCCCTTAACCCTTTAACCCACTAAGGGACTCCCTAACTGCCCACTTGGCTCCTGGGACCACAATCTCATACCCTCACCAGACCAACGAAGATCCGACAGACCTGGGCTGCAATATTACGATTTACCCGCAGATGTCGCAGTCCCAACACTTGACCAACCAACTTTCAAAATTACCGTATTGTACTAACAACCCAACGAGCAGCCATTTAGAGTGCCACCTGTATACTTGATGAGCACTACGCTTGGTGCTTCAGGTCAACCTTGCACAAGTTCGCTCATCTATGAAATGCGTTACCGTGAAGAGTAAATTAGTTAAATCGTATAAATTGAGTGCTTTGAACAGTGACTGGATTGTAGTGTTAAATTATTACCTGCCCAAGGTGAGATGGCAGACAGGCCTGGAACTCTGGAGCCACGCTGCCCCCTCCCGCACTGTGCCGCACTGCAGTTGCCTCGGTAGAGAGGTCAGCCCCAGGACTCGCCTTCCTTCCAGTTTGGGCCCTTTTCCTTTTTCCTCTCGCTTGCCACCAAGCTGAGCTATGCCTGCCTTCTCATCCCCCAGCTGGAATCCAGCGGTGGTTCCGGGGACCCCTCTCCAGCAAAGTAGGTGTGGGGTGTTTCAGCTGGAGTGGGCCCAGGACGGTGGGGCCACATTACTGGCTTCCCGAGAGAATTTCCAGAAGGCAGGGAGCCCGGGAGGTGCACGGGTGGGGTGCAAAAGGTCGCACTCCTAAAGTCTCAATTCTGCATAAAGTTTCCTCATTGGCCTTCCGGGCCTGCGCTCCACCTGCCCTGGAGATTTAGGTTAACGGCGCGCAGGCCTGGGTGAGGTGACCACTGGCTTCTGCCACTAGCACCTGGGGAGCAGCGGCTCCGCGCAGCCGGCAGGTTACACCTGCCCGGAGCCCTCAAGGCCGCAGGATCGGGCCCCCGAACGCGTGCAGCGGACCATGGCGACCTCGCAGGGCAGTGAGTCCCACTACCCGCGCGCAGGGGCGGCACCAGGTGCGGCCGCTCCCCCGGCACCCTGCGCCGCACGTGGCGGGTAGGGGGGGTGGGGGTGGGGGGGTCCCCTGTGCCGCAGGCGCACGCGCGCAGAGAAGCACCACGTGCTGGGGCTCCAGCTCCGTGCGCGGGGAGGCTCTGCGGCGGCGCGCGGAGGCCCCACGTGCGGGGAAGCCTTGATCCGCAGGAGGAGCGTCTCCACCTCACTCCCCCACACACGTGCTGCGGCCGCCTCCCGGCGCCTCGCGCAGCCGCCCCGCGGCGGGGCTCCCGGCACCGCGAGGTGGCGCGCGGCCGCTCTGGCTCCGAGGGGCGGGGCGCCCGCATTGTTCCTCCCTGAGCGGCGGGCCCTCCCCTTCCCAGCCCGGGCGGGGCGCGGGGCCGCCGAGGCCGCGGAACGTGGGCTCGCGCCCCGCCTTTGTCTCCCGGGCGCGAGCTGCCGCAGCCCCACGCCTGCCGCTGAGGCTGGAGCCGCTTTGTGCCGCGGCGCGGGGAAGGGACGCGGGGCTGGAGCCAGCGGGCCGGCCTCAGCATGGACGTGACCGTGTCGGAGCTCATGGAGCTCTTCCTGCAGAGCCCCTTGGTGACCTGGGTGAGTGCCCGGGCTCCCGGCACCTTTGTCGGTGCACCGGTTCTTCGCTTGTCGGGCTGGGGTCCCTGTAGACCCGATCCTGTCAGGCCTGGCGGCAGCCCCCGGACGCGGGGACGCAGCAAGTGGCTCCCTGCCCGGGTCCGGTCTGCGCACCGGAGTCTGGAGGCGTTTCCAACTCTGGAGCCCGCGGCGCTCCCGGCCGGGCCGAGGGCCGAGCGGTTACACCTGTTCCCGCCGGGGTGCTGGGCTGGCGGTTCCGGAACGCACAGGGTCCGAGCGGTCACTTCCCCCAGCCCTGGCTCGCAGGGTTTGACCGCTCCTGAAAGTGACCCTACTCCTCAGACGTGACCCTGTGTAGATTCTGAGCCCCCTCAGACCAGCCGGTCGACGGCGGTGACCCTTGGGAATTGGGGGGCGCCGAGTGGAAACGTGAACAGACTCGGGTGGGCGCGGTGCTTTTCGGTGGACTTGAAACGTGAGAAATATATTGAAAAGTTTGTTTTATTTTTTCTCCGTTCTGGGACGCTGGAGAAAAGTGGCGAGGAAGTTTGCCTCCTGCTGTCTCTCGTCTGTTGCCTGGTGCAGGGAGGGAGGAGGTGCTGGGAGAAGGGGGAGGTTAGTGCCTGCTGGAGGGTGGGTGGGTTTGGGTGACCCCTTGCGCACATGGCCCGCGACGGCTTTAGACTGTTTGTCCGCGTGGGGTGACTTGTCCTATCTTCTCCGCGCCCTGTCCCCGCAGGTGAAAACTTTTGGCCCATTCGGAAGCGGCGACCAGGACAACCTGACCATGTACATGGATTTAGTGGACGGCATCTTTTTGAATCAAATCATGTTGCAAATGTAAGTTGTCCTCTTCAGGGAGGAAAAAAAGAGTGATGCTTTAGCAATCTAGAAGTTTTAATAAGGTTATGGAAACGGATTGTAAGGTTGCAGTGGGAGGGATTTTTGCAGGCGTGGCCCCCGGTATTTCAGTGTTCCGGTGTCTTTTTGCCGTCCATGCGTGATCGAAGAACTCCACGGCAACGGGCTGGTAGCTTTGATAAAATTTGGAATTGATTGATTTCTCATCCACATGGGTAGATAGGGCAGTTGACTTCAATCTCTGATAGTTAACTGTGGTTTGCGCAACGAGCAGTGAAATGAAAAAGCCCCCTTTCTTTTGGGAGGCACAAAACTAACAGAACGTGTCTGGTTACAGGAAGTGTAGGATGGGTAGAACGCCTGGTTTTGAGCTTCTTTCGTGTCATCTTTTTTCAGTTGCCCGTAGCAAGTGTAGTCGGTTAAGTACCTTCGCATGAAATGGGTTTGAAAGTCACTTTGTTAGGAGAGGGACAGAGGGGGTCAGTTACCATGGTGTTTGTTTTGAAGCATGTGGCTTAAACAGGGACTTGGTAAGAGTTACACTTGGTGGCATGTACATCTGACCACATCCTTTCCTGTTGCTGAATTCTGCAGAGCCTGCCTGCCCGCCTGCCTGTTTGACAGCCTATCACTATGTAGGTGTCGGGCTCCTACGGCTGCGTTCTGTTTTTAACTTAGAAACTGTAGGGAACATATTGGAATTGAGTGTCACTATCGTTCATAGCCAGTGGAAGCAAAAGAAAACATCCTAATGTTGTCTGCGGATCAAAGTTTATGCCTGAGTACTAAGCAAGTTGTCATACTTGAGCATAAACTCATTAGTTCATGAGAGTTAGGTTTGCTTGTGGCCCACGAAGGAGGAGGGGCTGTTTGCTTTGGCATATGCAGAGAGTGTTTTAAATAGATTCTACCTAAAAATGTCTGTTAAAAAAAAATTCCAAGAACATTGCTCCTTTTGTTTTAATAAGTTATTTGGTGTATGCTGTGGGAGAGAGACTTCAGTCTGTTTTTTTTTTTAGAAAAAAAAATAACCCACTACCAGTCTTTCCCGTTTGATTCTGAAAAGAGAAATCTGTCATCAGCTTTGGTGGCACTTCTAGGATAACCAAAAAAAAAAAAAAAAAAACCCACCAAACCCATTGCTGTCAAGTCGATTCCAACTTACAGTGATCCTACAGGACAGATAGAACTGCCCCAAAGGGTTTCCAAGGCTGTAAGTCTTTAGGGAAACGGACTGCCACATCTTTCTCCCTGCCACATCTTTCTCCTGTGGAGCAGATGATGGGTTCAAACTGCCGACCTTTTAGATAGCAGCAGAGCACTGTAACCACTGTGCCACCAGCGTACCGTTCTAGGACAACATCGATGAGAAGGCGTTTTCTTGGGGTTGCCTCATGGCATATGTGAGCTCTAGCGGCTACCCCCCACCATTCTGTTAGACCCCGAATATTATTGAATTCCATTGGTCAGTGACCAGTGGAACTTAGCCTGCCCTTCCCCAAGCCCAGGACTGTTTAATTTAAAAAACCAGCAGTCTGCCCAGTCTGTTCATTCAGCTTTTACACCCAGGCTGTGGGGAACAAAAGCCTGGGGACTGTTTCTCTTTCTTCACTGACCTTTGGAATTCCTGAAGCGTTTACCACTTGCTTGTAAATCAGGAAAGCCTGTCTGAATGGGTCTCTGAGAAATGCTAGCTCATCACTTGTTCGCATTTGGCCTGTAGCTAAATTCAGTTAAAGCCCTCCCCACCACACCCCACCCCGGAAATTTTAAATGTTTTTTTTCTCCTTTGTGATAAGCCAAGGTGATCAGTCTGGAAGTGGGAGCTGGCTGGGTGCTCTCAAGAGTGCAAGCAGTGCTTCTGGGTACCCCTGGCCAGGGCCAGGCTCAGAGAGGAAGGGAGCGGGGAAGCCCGTGGGTGGCTTTCCAGAACAAAAAGAGAGAGAGTGGTAGGGTGGGCGCGGTGCCACCAGCTGCACATGGCTTACTGATTGGGTGATCAGAAGAACCTAGGCTCTGGGTGATAGAACTTGGTTTGCCTCTGGAAGTGGGTGGGGATGGATAGAGGGGGCACAGGATCTTTTGGGGGTGATAGAAATGTATTTTATATTGATTGGGTATGCTTCATTTTCCAAAATTCATCAAGCTACAACTTAAGATATGTGCATTTCCTCTATGTAAAAATTACCTAAATTAAATAAAAAAACCCTGGCCCCAGTGTCTGGGTCGCCAGCCTGGGTTTGAGCCTAGGTCTCCCTCATCCTAGCAGTGTGATGCAGGGCAGGTCACTCAGTACCTCAGTTTCCTCATCTGTAAAATGGGAAGTAAAGTACCTTGTTGAAGAGACGGTTGTGAGAATTGAGTGAGATGATGTGCTGATGTTTAGCTGAGCTGGTATTTAGTAAGTGTTGGTGTCAGCTATTTTCTGATGTATGCACCATCCTAATCCATAAGGGCTTGGTGGCACCCCATAAAAGTTCATTTTGTTTTTCAGCCTACTTATTTCCCTGTGTTCTTAGTTCCCTAGATCTAAGAGATCTAAGGCAAACTGGACTCTGGGACCCAGGTCCTAGCCCTGCGTCTAACACTGTCCTTTTGTCCTGCCTCTGTTTACTTCTGCCAAATGGAGATGTGTCTCAGGCTAACTAAGTTAGCAGGTAAGTGATAAGGCCCTCTGCCTTATCTCGCATGCTCACAGCTCCACTGTGTGCTCCTCCCCGCGTTGGTAGGACCTGAGGACATTGCAGAGCGCATTATTGCTGATGGTGGCTGGCCCCAAGGGAAGAGGCCTATTACCTAACACTTCAGAGCCATATGGAGGCTGGCTGGGCATCACGTGATTGCACCTGGGCATTGTCTCTGGCAACTGAAGAAGGTTGCGGTGGTAGTCTCCCCCCACCCCCGGCCCTGGCCTCCCAGTGACATCAGTGCTTGGAAGTAGGAAAGCCCATGGGCTCAGCTTTCAGGCGAGGCCCAGGGCGAGGAGAATTCCTGAATGAGAGTGCGGCTGAATAGTGCCTCTGTGAACGCAGCTTCTCTGAGCGCCCGTGGTACCCAAGGGAAAACAAGGGCTCTGATTAGCTTGGGACAGATTTTTCACTGTCTCCTAGGAGAGTAATTTAAGGGTGTTGACTCTAGCGTCATGCAGACATATTAAAGTTCCTGTCTGTCACTTACTATTTCTCTTACCCTGGGAAAATTATGTAAGCTCTCTAAGCCTCAGTTTCCTGATCCGTAATATGGGGATGATATTTTGTAGTGCTTGGGGGGAGTAAATCAGATTATGCGTATACAGACATAAAACACATGCCAATTGTTATTATTGCTATTTGACCCTTTGGGGAAACTTTCGTGAAGAATGAGGCCCAGAGTTGGGTGTGAGTGTGTGCATGCATGTGTGTGTGCAAGCATGTGTGTGTGCAGGCGTGCAGGCGCCAGTGCACACCTTGTCCTGTAAGAGCAGGCGCTCAATGTCGTAGCTGTTCAGTGTATTTGGGAGGTCGAGGCTGAGAGTTTGTGCCCTCATGAGGCCTGGGGTAAGTTCGGTGCCATTTGCTTTGTTCAGATTCCTTTCTGACCCTTGGTGCTCGCTACAGGATTCGGGATAATACATTAATTATTCAGAGCCTGGAAACAGTTTGCGTTTCTAGAAAAGTATTTGAAGGATGATAGTTTTTCCCCTGTGTGCTTGAAGAAGAGTTGTGTTCCCGTTTTGCAGATCAGCGGACGATAAAAGTCTCAGTAGCTATTGGTTGAATGAGTTTGTGTTGTAGCAAAAAGATTTTTATTCATAAGCTTAGTAGGTTCCTTTTTGGTGGCAGGTATAATACTCTTTGCAGGGACTTTGAGTCCTTAAGAAGTTCAGAGAAGAGTCATTCATCGTAGGAGAATAGGACCACGTAGAGATAAGCAAGATAAAAATTGCCTGTCGTTCTACCATGCAGAGGTAGCAGTGTGAATATTCTGGTGCCTTCCAGATGTTATCCCTAGTGTATTTTTTTACAAATACGGGCCCGTGCTACTGTTTTTTAATATCCTGTTTGCTTTTTCTTTTTTAATATTGTGTTTTAGGTGAAAGTTTACGTAGCAAATAGGGTTCCCATTTAACCATTTCGTATATAAACTGTTCCGTGACATTGGTTACAGTTTTCACAGTGTGTCAGCGTTCTCATTATTTCCGTTCTGTTTGTTCTGCTTCCATTGATCTAGCTTCCCTTCCCCTCCTTGCCTTCTCTTCTTTGCTCTTGGGTAAAGGTGGACCGTTCGGTCTCATGTAGTTGATTGTTTAAGGGACACATCTACTGGCGAGTGATACTGTTTATTTTATAAGCCAATCTGTTACTTGGCTGAAAGGTGGTAACAGCCTGTTTTTAACCTACCGCATAGTATGGCCATCGCCTCTGTCCGAGTCAGTTCACGGCATCTCAAGCCAGTGTTAAATTTAGGAAGTCTTTGGACTTGGAACTCTCCAGGTTTGGCCCAGCTGGCAGACACTTGCATCCATGTCTCTGTCCTGTCCTCTAATAGCCTGCTGCTGGACTGTGGGCTTTATGTCCTGGGGCTGACACGTAAAGAAGATCCTTGCTGTTAATGACAACTTTGGGGAAGTGCGATCGTGCAGTGGTTATGATAATATCCTCTTCCAGGGATAGAGAACCAAATACAGCCCAGGCTCACTAATGCAGACCTGGGCTTCGTAAAACTATAGCCTTTTAGGGCTAGGGGGAGCTGTGGGCATTTTGCAGATGAGCACCCAGACGCCCAGAGAACCTTGGCCAGTCCTGGGAGCTGGGCTGAAGTCCCTGTCTCCCGTTTGCAAACCCTGCAGCGTGGAGAGGTGGAGGCTCACGTGTAGACAGGCTTCCCTGAACCATCACTGAGCCTTTTGATTTGTTTCCTGATAACCTCTGTTTACCCTGAGAGCCTGCCTTAAAGGAGGGAACGCTGCTGCTGCTGCTGGTGATTAGTGGAATTACTTATACGGTAAATGTCAAGGTTCTTTTGGAGTGTTGTTTCAGTTAGGGATTGCTTCCCAGAATAAAAGCAGGCATGGTCAGAGGCTTCCCTGGCTGTTAGCTGATGGAAACCCAGGTCCCCAGCCTCCCCAGCCCCGTGAGGCGAACCCCCACAGTGTATGCCTGGGCCTCCCATCTCTGCAGAGGTCCTATTGGACTCAAGTGAAAGCTGGGACCGCAGTAACAGTGAAATAGAAAAGCCCTAAATGTTCCCTTAGTTCTGCTATTTTAAGAAGCACATTTGCCACTTCATGAAATTGCTTCTCATCTCTTAAAGCATCTCCAGGAGAGGCAGGCGAATTGCACCTTTAGGGTAAATTGTTTTGTAATGCCAGGTACACTTCTGTAGCTGAAAATGCCTTTGTGGTTTAAATTCTGAATGCCCCCTCTCTTCCTAAATTAATTTCCACTGAACTGTTAACCTTTATTTTCTCAGTAATGAATGGCTCCAAGAGAAGCATGTAACATGTAAATGCCTTGGCCAGACTCCATCACTGCATGGGGAACAATAGGAATGTCACATGGTAGTTGAAAAGATCTCCTCTGGTTGCCTTGAGGTACCCACGTGACAGTTTTAGGGGATACATGATGCCCGAATAAAGTCCACAGCTGATTGTTATGTGAAAGGGTTTGCCTTACACGTAACCCAATATAAGGCCTCATGGTGTAAATCTCAAATATTTACTTAATGGTTGAATTTTAAACAGCTTTTCTATTCCAAAAACATTGTACTTCCAGTGCCACTTGAAGTGATTTCTTATTTGTGGTTTTCTACCAGTTGTTGGCTTTGAATAAGCCCAGTGGCATTGAGATTTATTTCCTGAACTCCCGAAAACCCCCTTCCTGTGCTACTCTCGGCAGCGAGGGCACCATTTATGAGGAAGGAGGAAGAAGTCTGCCTGTCCTTCATCCACCGGCCCCCGGAAGGCTCCGTACCCTATCACAGGGCTTGGATGACAGGCAAATGTCAAGGCAGGTCCTCATTTGAATCAGACATCCTTTGCGGTGTCTTGGGACAGTCGTGTGGCAGAGAGGGCTTTGTTATGGAAAGCAGTGTGCCGTCCATGGGGAGGTGGAAGCTAAATCACTTTTACCGAGTCAGTTCTCTTCCCAAATAGGAAGCATTTTTTGACACTGAGAATTTCGATTAATGTCTCTGTACGTAGATAAGTGAAATGATAAATCACTTGATTTCAATTTCTAGTTTCATCTCAACCAGACCTGCCTTTTGCCAGAGATTGGAAAATAAATGACACTTAGGGGGTCTCCCACGTGAGTTATTTGTATCTCTGAACCAGTTGCCATGAAGTTGATTCTGACTCCATGTGGGTCAGAGTAGAACTGTGCATTGTAGGGTTTTCAATGACAGATTTTTCAGACGTTGATCGCGAGGCCTTTCTTCCCGCCTGTGGTTGGACTCAAACCCCCAACCTTTCAGTTAGCAGCGAGCGTGTTAACTGTCTGCAACACCCAGGGACTCCCTTTGTGTCTGCTCTTTGTGTTTCTTGGTAGAGCGCATTGCACGCATTGTCACAGACTGATTATGTCGGTTTTTCACAATGGAATTGTGTTCCTGGAATGGACATCACAGGCAGGACCAGCCCAAGTCAGTTCCTGAGGGAGGTGGGAGGACCTGAGTTACACAGAATGTTAAAGGTTCTATTGGTTTACCAAGCCAGGAAATGTAGCATTGCTTTTTCCTTTCCTACCAGTCTTGAGTAGGAGCCCTTGTGGCGTGATTAAAGTGCTTGGCTGCTAACCGAAAGGTCAGTGGTTCGAACCCCACATCAGCTCTGCGGGAGAAAGATGTGGCAGTCTGCTTCCGTAAAGATTTACAGCCTTGGAAACCCTGTGGGGCAGTTCTACCCTCCCCTCTAGGGTTGCTATGAGTCAGAATCAACTCGATGGCAATGGGTTTTGGTTTTTGGACCTTTCTTGATATTTCATATATTTTGATTGGTTTCAGCCTTTAATCCTTTTAGTCTGGAAATATTTTTTTGGTTAGGTTTTTATCCCTTATAACCTTTTTGTATCTGCATTTGCATATGGTTATCGGTGGGTGGGAGCAGAAATAATGTTGATTAGGGGCCTATAGTGAGCTAGGGGCTTTGATTCGTTATCTCATTGCAAACCAGAACAGCCCCGTGGAGTAGTTTGGGAGCAGGAAGGTTCCTCGCCTGAGACCCAGTGGCAGAATCAGGATTTGAATTGAGCCATGCGGTCACGGCCTGGCAGTAACTGGGCTTGGGGAGGACTAAACGCTTGATGGCAGCTGGGAAAGGACGTGTGGCAGATACTGGGAGATGCCGTTTCCATTCTTGTGTTTCTTTCCCTAGAGATCCCAGGCCAACAAACCAACGCATCAACAAGCACGTCAACAACGATGTGAACCTTCGCATTCAGAACCTGACCATCTTGGTGAGGAACATTAAGACCTACTACCAGGTAAGGGAAAGGAGCCTGGGTGGTGCAGTGGTTAAACTCTCAGCTGCTGACTGAACGGTTGGTGGTTCTAACCCACCCAGCCGCTCCGTGGGAGAGAGATGTGGCCGTTTGTTTCTGTATAGATTACAGCTTTGGAAACCTTGTGGGGCAGTTCTACTCTGTCCTGTACGGTCACAATGAGTCGTCATCGACCCAACAGCGATGGGTAATGGGTTTACTAGGTAAGGGCGGTGCTCATGTGTGTCTGGAAATGTCATCACTGAATGGTTTCCCCTCAGGAAGCCGAGAGGATATGGTGTTCGTGTTTAGGTATTTGCGTGCTGACCCTTGGTGTGTTTGATTTGAACCCTTATTTTTTGGTGTGGTGAAAAGGGTTGGATGTTGTAGTCGGTTTCCTGTTAGCAGGTGCTCTTTGAGCTTGGTGCACAGCCCATGCCTTGCACCGTAGGACCCCAGAGGAGCTCGTTCACAGCTTCATCCCCACGTGCAGTTGAATGGGTCTGGCTGCAGTGGCTCCCTGCTGGGCCAGCCCCACAGCCCTGGCTCAGTAGGCCTCTGTACAGGAGTAACTCAGAGGGCTGAGGGAGAGAAGTGACCGCAGAACGGTTGTGTGCGAGCCGAAGAGGTAATCAGCAGGCCTCCAGGTAGCAAACACATGGAGTGTCCACTTTTCGGGTGCTCACGTGCCTGGTTGGAGTAATGGTCGGTGGGTCAGGTGAGCAGCCACACCCCAGCCTTGGGAAGGTTGGTTAAGAGTCTTTGATGATGTTCATGATCTTTGTGTGACCAGCACTGATACAGGAGCCCTTGCTGCTGTTTTCAACATGAGTTTGAAATGGGATGGGAGAGGGGGCACTTCAACAGGCAGGACCCCCTAACCTGGTCTGCTGGGAGGGGTGGGGAATGCTCCTCGGAGGAGGTGACACCTGAGCAGAGTTTTGAGGGCAACTAAGTCTCCAAGTTTGGAGGGTCATGGGAAGGAGAGAAAGGGAGATGAGTAGTCAGGGAGAGCAGTGGTGTGGAGGCCTGAGACAGAGCTCCGTCCCTGGCTCCGTCCGGATCGGCATCTCCACAGTTACTGCATGCAGGCCTGTTTACCAAATTTCAGATGAGTCAAAACCAGGGCTTTGAACCGGTTCTTTCTGGTTCGAACCCCTGCTGAGAATTTGCATTTCCACCCCAGATGTACTAAATCAGAATCATCATTTTAACAAGATCCCCAGGTAATTCTTATGTATAATAAATTTTGAGAACCACTGCTCCACTAGTGGTTCTCAGAATTGGTCCCTAACCAGCAGCATTAGCGTCACCTGGGAACTTGTTAGAAGTGCAAATTCTCAGCAGGGGATCCAACTGGAACGAACAAGTTTGAAGCCCTGTGCTCAAAACTCGAAGAACTCAAACAGAAACCTGTACGCCAGTGTACACTGCAGCACTTTTCACAATAGCCAAAAGGTGGAAACAGCCGAAATGTCCATCAGCAGATGGATGGATAAACAAAGTGTAATATAGCCATATAATGGAATATTACACAGCCCCAAAGAGAAAGGAAGTCCAGATGCATGCCACAACACGGATGAACCTTGAAAGTGTCATCTTGAGTGAAATAAGTCAGTCGCAGAAGGACAAATATCGTACAATCTCACTTATATGAAATAAGCAAATCTATAGAAACCGAAGATTATTAGTGGTTACCGAGGGTGGGAGGGAGGAGGAAAGGGGGAGTTTTTGTTTGGGGGGCATTGAGTGTATGTTAATGGTGGTGGAATATTTTGGCAAAAGGACGCGAGAATGGTTGCGTAAGATGAAAGAAATGCGATCGATGTCCGTGTACTGTAAACGTGGAAGTTACAGTATTGGCAGATGTGTTAGAGTGTATATTTTCACCCCACACAAAAAACCAAAAAGCCGGGAAGGATGTGAACATGAGAGATAATAGAGAATCAAGATTCAAAACGGGCTTGCAGGGCTGGCCGGAGCCGGGTTGATACTCAGTAGGTGTGTCCCAGTCTGCACGTGGCTGATTGCAGCGCTGACGGCCTTAGGTGAGGTGGAGCGCTCCCTAGGGTGCAGGTCAGGTTTCCCGCCCCTGGGAGTGGCGGAGCACAGCTAGGCGCTGTAACAGCTAGGGCTGTGAGCGTGCTGTCCTCTGTTGTTGCTGGCCGCGGCAGGACCGGGGCGGATTATCCTTGCTCACCAGATTGTCTGTAGTGAACAGTTTCTTATCTTTTCCCCACTTCAGAGATTCTGCTTCCAGATATGGCTGGCAGCTGTCTCCCTCCCAATCCCACAGCACCTTCCTACAGAATCAAAGCCTCTTTTCAAATTTACAGTCCCTGACAGGGACCGATGACCCAGTAAGCAAGGTGAGCACAGGCTTACTTGGGCTTACTTACTAATCTGTAGTGAACGATTTCACAGGTTAACAGTTTTGAAGATGTGGTGAAACCCATGTGAAGTTGTTCACTACAGATTAAAAAGTAGGCACAAGTAAGTCTGTGCTTCGCTTGTCTATTGGATAATCCGCCCCTCACCACAACCCCTGCCATTGGTGACCAGCAGCTTGTGGGAGTCCAGGCCCAGGCCAGACAGAAGGGCCTTGAGACTGTGTCAGTGTGAGAGGCTCTTTGCCGCCCGTGGGGCACTGTTTAGAGTCCAGAAGATGGACAGCAATCACACGAAGGAGAAGATGACCATCCCAGAGTCTCAGGGTCCAGGAAGACTTAGGAAAGAGGATCACGCATCCTGCTCTCCACTGTCAGCTCTCTGAGGGCAGGGCTGTGGGGGCCGGAAGCCTCTGCCTGTTCTGAGGCCATGGGCAGTCAGAGTTGATTGAAAGCACCTGTTGAGGGTTGCAGAGTGGCCGTTGCCTCCATCCTGCTCAGGTGGAGAGATGGCAGAGATGTTGGCGTTAAGGGCTGACTCACATTAATTGTTCACAGCGGTCTTCTGTGTACTCTTTCCTTCATGTTTCTTTTAAGGTAAAGTTATTTTTAAGTTCTCATCCTATAAGTAATACATGCCCTTTATAAACAGCTTGTACAACAAACAAGTAGAAAGAAAAAAGAACCACCCACCAGAATCCCACCACCCGAAGACAATCACTATTAACATTTTTATGTCTCTTCCCAGTCATGTGAATGAATACTTTTTGTTTTACGTGGCTGCGGTGGTGCCATATATATAATTGCATATCCTGCCTTTATTCCCTCCCACCTAATACTGTAGCATAAACATAATTGATGGTTATTGTAAAGGGCTATTCAAGAATGTTTTCCAAAAGAACTACTGCCCAGTCCCCTTTCCCCTCTTTGAAAGTAGCCCTTCAGGATGTAAGGGCTGAGAAGTAATGGGAGGCAAGTGTTGGTCCGGCCAGCGAGGGTGAGCGGTCACCCTGAGTGAGTGGGGCTTGCCCTTGCCTCTGGCTTTTCAGTGGACACATCAAGGTCACGGACTCTTGCCCTGGGTCTTGTTTTCCCCTTCTTTCCTGAGGCACAGCGTTCGGAAGGACGGGGGCCTCTTGAATAGCATGGGCGTGTTTCATCAGGAAGTTCAAGTTTTGCCTCTTGAAAACCTGTGGGGACAAGGGGTCTTCCTTTTCCTGGGGCATAGAAGGTGGGTGAATACCAACATGGCCAGGATTCAGTCTGACTCGAGTGGGGGCATTTCTGGTCCTGTTCCCTGACCTACTGCGCTGGAATCTTTGGGGACGGGGCCCTGGAACCTGCATTTTAGCCAGTGGCCCAGCTTTTTGAGTCTGATCATCGGCCCGACAGGATTGAGGGGGTAGAGCAGTGGCTCTCAAAGTATGGTTCCCTCCCCGGGATTCTGGTGCACACACAACTTTGTGAGCCACTGGGTTAGAGCTTTTCGCATGATGTTGAGAAGAGCAAGCTTCACCCAGGTCTCCTGGGCCAGAGGGAGCCCGGGAGTTCTCCCAGGGGACTCCTTCTCCAGCACGTACGTACCTCACCTCCCCTGGGACGGGAAGGCAGAGTCTTGGCAGCCACCATGGTTGGGCGGGGGGGAGTGCAATGATGAGAAAGTGACCAGAGGGAGCAGGGCTGTCAGTGATGGGGCCTTCCAGAAGGGGCAGAGAAAACCAGAGTCTGCAGGACCTTGAAGAGAGAGTGCCTGGTTTAGTCTCTGCATTTTAAAGAAGAAAAAACTGATTGTTCCAAAGCGGGGACCCCAACTCTCTAGGGACACACTCCCCGCAAGACAGGGCATCTGCCGAGGGGACTGGAGGAAAGGCATGCCTGGACCAGAACTGCATCACGCCTCCTGGTTGGCCAGTTTTGAGCCCGGTGTCTTACGATTCTTGTTTTACTCATTCAGCAGCCAGGCTCTTTTTATCTGTCTTTTCTTTTTTTTTATAAAACCTTTGACTTTTCTAATGACTCCATTTTTACATTCAGAACCTTGCATATTTGCATCAAACGCATATTTATTTTATCGCAGAGCCAGTATGGAGGCTAGTGTAGCAGAAACCCACAGTGTCACAGATTGCTGAAGTGTGTTTATTCTTGGGGGGCTGTGCAGTACGTCCCCCTGTCCCAGCATCCGTGATCTTGCTCCTTCTCCAGACAGATACAGCATAATTATCATGTGAAGTTTCTGAGGTTTCTTTAGCATCGTGCTTATGGGATCCACTTCAAACAGTGGCTCGAATAATTTATTTTGATGTGTTTTGATGGAGAAGTACATCTTTGCCTTTGAGTCCACGTGTGGCTAACACCAAAAAAATCAGTTGCTGTCTAATCGATTCTGACTCATGGTGACCCCGTGTGTGTCAGAGTAGAACTGTGCTCCATAGGGTTTTCAGTGACTGATTTCTCAGAAGATCACCAGGCCTTTCTTCTGAGGTGTCTCTGGGTGGATTTGAACATGCAACCTTTTGATTAGCAGCAGAGTGGTTAACTGTCTGTGCCACCTAGGGACCCCCACATATGGCTATCTACTCTGACATCAGGATCCTTAGATGGATTTAGCATGTAACA